AAAAAAACTTAAATAACATTAAAGTCTTAAGACGTACTTTTTTTTTTTTTTTTTTTTTTTTTGAAAACTGACTTCTGGGATCCTGCTGTTCTTTTTGAGAAATGTTTGTTTGCTGGGAAGAGGTTGGTTTAATTTTCTTACACAAGTCTCTCTGTGATTCTTTGTTTAGCATTTAAGTGTTTCAGCATGAGAAAATGCATGCTATCTCCTCTTGGGTAATTGTTTCTTATCAATAGTAACTGTTAGCTTTGCTATAGTAGGGTTTATTCAATATTTCTTTATGGGAGAACAGTAATGAGGTAGAGGAAATACTGTATCTGATGGTTTGCAGCATTTTATTGTAGGTGCATTAAGAGCTGATAGCTTGAAAATGGCCACTGTATTAAAAAAAATTAACTAAGCCCTTTTATCAAACCCTGCTTAGTGAACTGGATTGTGGTGTCATGGTTGTACTTTCTGCATATAGATCAAACTTTGGGTCAGTAGATACAAACTTTGGATGTTATTTCAAGTAAATGACAATACAAATAAAGAGATGCTGTTGCCTAAAGAAGTTTCCCATATTGTTTTTTTTGTCAGTATGCTGATGCTTTCAGTTCTTCAGAGCAGACTGGAGGCATTTCATGCATGTCAGCCCATATGAGCAAAATCATTTACACGTGTATGCGTATATATATGAAATTACAAAAACTTACGTGATATGAAATAAGTTTGCGGGATGGATGAGGAGAGGATGTGGTAGCTGTGAAAGAAACCTGTTTTTAGAATTACTGTATCAGTACCATAGGTAACAAACATTAGCAGCTGTTTACCTGATAAACCTATTCAGTACTGTGAATGCAGTGGTTGTAAAACTGCAAGCTCTTTAGGCATCTCTGAATATTGGTTTTGGTCTGTTGCTGCAAAATATATAGTGCAAGTAACTTGTGAGTGAATGAAAGATCTTGAGAAACCTGTGAAATACCTTAATGCTTGCTGTGACTATAGCTGAGAGGTGCCATGCACTTGTTTGCATGACTAGAAGAGATTTTGTAGGTTTCTGGAAAATGTTATGAGATGAACACACCTCACTGGATGGTATGCTGTAATCCGAGTAATTGGCCTATCAATTGAAGTAAATTAATTTCTATGCCTGATTCCTCCTTGCTGTAAGTAAAGGAGATTAATCCATCCAGAGGCCTCTGAGGAAGTGGTACATGCACATGGGTGTGAACAGTTCTTCTAGATACTTGTGCACTTTCTTTGAAACACCTGTGATGTTTTGGCAAGATCATGATACCGAGGTCTTTATTACAGAGAGTCTCAATCTGTTCTTGCCTTTTCTCTAAATTACTGTTTCATGGGATATAAAAATCTCCATTTTAAAGACTTTCAAAGTCTGTACTATCTTGACTATGAAATTAGGCTAGATAACACACAAATAATGGTTCTTCTTTAAGTGCTAAAATCCTGGTAACAAGAAAACCTTGGAGGTACTTTTTTTGTGCTAGATGAAAAAGTAGCATCGTTCAGCAGTTACTGTGTCTTGAATAAATGTCCATGGTTTCCATATTGTGTAATAATTTAAGTGACATCCTGCTTAGGTTATGCCTGGTTATAATGGTATATCTCCTGCATTTATCAGTTGATGTCAATATTTAACTCTTCATGTCTTGTTATATACGCGATCTTACAGTGGCTGTAGTAATGCTAAAATAGTTGTCCTGTTGATCAAAATGGTGAACAATTTATTGTGTGTTTTAGGTATTGAGGGTGATTTATCTCTTGCATCATGCGTGAATACAAGCTAGTGGTTCTTGGTTCTGGAGGTGTTGGAAAGTCTGCTCTGGTAAGTACTTTGTGAGGCAGTTTGAGTATGTTTTCTTAGGTTTCTCATGTCTCTTTCTCTAATACACTCTCTACTAACCTATATTTCTTTTATGTAAGCGTGCACAAATAAACATAAATGTAAGTAATGACTGCTGAGGGTTTCTGGCTAGAATACATCCTTTACTGGGTGTATCCGCATCCGTTGGTGCGCTCTCTCATGCTAGTATTTTTGTACGGGGTTGGTTTGATGGTGCTTGGTCAGATTTTTGCCTGTCTTACACAGTGAAGTGCATAGCCACAGCATTATGAAGCCTTCCCTGGGTAACCCAGCCATAGGTCTGTGGGAAATCAAGCTGCTTCATGAAACACAATGAACTGGTTTGCCTGTGTCTGGCCTTGCTAACTCCTGTCTCTAGAAAAGTCTTCAGGGTGCTGTTTGCTTAATGTTTGATAGCAGTCTCTAAAGCACTGATATTTCTTTTATGCAAATACAAATATATATTTGCATGTTTGTAGGAAGTTTAGTCTGTTTTCTACATCTTTCCCTGGAAGTAGGTGTATAGCTGTGGCAGGCAGTAAACCAAAAAGCTCGTGCATTTTAGTTAAACAATTACAGAAAAGTTTAGTCTGACCTAGACTAGCACTGAAAAAGTTCACAGAATATGATGTTCTCAACCCACCTAAGAACTTTACATCTTTCAGTTTAGTTGTGCGCTTTATCGTAAAGTAAGGTCTAGAGGTCCACTCTACCAGGTAAGAAATATTCTTTTACAAAGTGGTAAGAGAAAGGAAAACTTAAATGACAAATCATCTTAGATTGTGAAAGAACTTTTTCCTTCACCTCTGAATTCTTTATCTTACTGCAGCGTTTCTGGATTTGAACCTGTCTGCTCTGACTTGGCCATTGACTCTTAAAGTTCCGCTTGACTTGTGCTAAAAACGTCCTACGTGCTAGGTACACAGGAATATCCTACTGAGTCTAGTTAAGACTAGTAAATGCTGGCCGTCGTTTTTTGACTAATTCCTGTGCTGGCAGATAAGTAGCAGAAGATGCAGTAGTTCTAAATGCAAATGTAAAAGCCATGCAGCTGTATACGGTATTCTATTCAACTAAAAACTAATAACGATTCCAACAGTTAGACAAACCTTAAATCAATGCATGCTTTAATTCTTATGCTCTAAGTGAGAGTGGATAAAGGAAGGTGTAGCATTGCTTCATCTAACAGTACTTAGTCAAATAGGCATATACATCTAACTTCTTGTTGTTTCTTATAATTTATAGTTATGTCAACCACTTAATTTGCTGTCAAAAATGTAATGGATAACTGAGTATACACCTAGAACAGTAATTTGTGTACAATGTTTACAAAATGCCACTGTATAAGAAGAATCTTACAAGACCTTTTGTCTTGCAGACTGTACAGTTTGTTCAAGGAATATTTGTTGAAAAATACGATCCTACGATAGAAGACTCCTACAGAAAGGTATATGCAAGACCTCCCTAGTGTTACAGAAACTTAAAACTGCAGTGCACATTGTCAAATATTTGAGTTATTGCTTGAAAAAGGGTATGCCTGGTAATGCCACGTAATACCTGGTAGCTTAACAAGTTTGAAATGTGAAGGTGCTCTTAAAGTCTGTCTGAAAGGAATAATTCAAGGCTAGCTTTTTAATGTTTAAGCATAATACCTTACTAGCTAGTCAGTAAAAAATCGCAATTTCATTGTCAGAATTGAGAACATTGATTATTTTTTTTTTTTTAGTAAAATAAACTACCACTTTTTAGTTTTTATAATATTTATTATTATTTTGTGTGTGTGTTAGTATCTGCAGGTAGATTTGGACCTGTATGTCAGAGGTTCTAAGCTTCTTTGCTACTAGCAAAATCTGCTAAAAACAACTTGAGGCTCACCTTTAGAACACTGGAGACAACATACTGTATTCTTAACAGTTTGACTGATAGCTTGATATGCTTCCATTAGATGGGTTGTTGTTTTATTAACAAGTTAACACAAACCTATCATAAATGAACAAACACTTAGAGTGGCCTGTTAGTTTCTCTCTTCCCATCTTCAGCATGACAGGCTGAAAGATCTGACTCTGCTTGCATCATCTTGAATCTCCATATTGCTCACTCTTCAGTTTCAGCTGAGACCATGATTAATATTCCAGGCTAAGATAGCTTACATCTGGACTGCTACCAAAAGAGTTAACCATTTGGTGAAGCAGAATAGTTTCCAGCTGTGTCAGTTTCTTAATATTTTTCTCCTTTTTTTAGCTGAATTACTTTTCAGATGCATTGATGCTCTGATGTAGCTCACCATGTGGCCACAAAAATACCAGTGTCTGTACAAGGGAGGCAAGATGCACAAACCCTAGCTGGGAATGGGCAAAAACTGCAGTACCTCCTCTTTTAGCAGTGGGCTACATTTATATTGGAATAAAGAGGCTTCATTAACAGCCATTGCAGCCTTTAGTTACCAGAATCTTTTCTGAACAGAAGAGGAATTAGTGAGAGCAAAATGATAATTTCACACTTGTTTTCTTTGACCTCACAGAAATCTATATGCTGGAAAAATCCTCATCTTTGTTAAGCATGTGGGCTTCCAGCCAAAGCCAGAACTTCTATTAAAGAGACAACAGCAACAAAAAATTCTATATAGCCACTTACTTTTTCTGTATCAGAGGAGAAGGAATTTTGGATCCTATCCTGATGTTTGGTGCAGGCCTTTGCTGGGTCAGGCCCAATAAATGACTCCAAAAACATTCACAAGCTGTACTAAAGTGAAATGTTTCCTTTGTTATATATTTACATTCTTCAGGTCATGCTAGATTCATGATGTTTGCTGGGTGAATTTTTCCAAAGGCTGTTTCCATGGAGCCTGAAAAAGTAAAGCCATCTCAAGAAATTTTGCCTTTTGCTAAGTAATTTTTTTAGCAAAGATCTTGTAATGTTCCTTTCAGATTTGATCCTGAAATGACTAGGAATATCTCTGTATATTCTTCTTCTCAAATCAGCTAGATGGTTGAAGTGTTGCTTAAGTCTGGACAACACTTTGTGCAGTCATTTTCTTCCCCTCACTGCTAGTTACAGTTCTAACTTGCTGCTTGACTTAGGTGACTTTAAAATGTATTGGTTTGGCAGTTGCAATTCTGTACTATTAGTCTTAAATCTATAATATTTGAAGTTGAGAGGATGAAATATTTTAAGTTTGCATGGAACAAAATAATTTGAGCATGAAGTCTTGAAACTTGACACCTTGGTTTATTTCCCAGATACTTCTTCATAAGGAGAATAGATGCTGCTTAATTAGCTGAATAACTTTGTCAGCAATATATGCTAAAACAGTGGCTATTGAAGGAATCTCCAACCCGAGTGGACATGGGGGAGGTGTGAGAGGAGTGGAAATACTCCTCTTCCCCGCCCCCCAAGCTCAAATCTAGTTACAAAAGAAAAGCTCAAAGTTAAACTAGTGATAATGCATATATCGGGAACAGGGGACACACAGAGTGCTGATCTGCCAAATAGGAATTTTACATGCAAATGGAAACAAGGGAAGTGTACCAATAGCTTGAAAGAAAAAAAAAGTGGGTAGCCTGCTTGAAACAGCTTGAGGGTACTTCCATGTCCTTTGATGCCCTCAAGGCCTTTTTTTTTTCGAGGCGGGGGGGGGGGGGGGCAGGGGGGAGCGGCTAGAAACTAGATAGAGGAACTCTGAAATACATACAGAAACTGATCTGGCCTCTTAAACCTTCAAATTTTTTGCAAATTTTTCTAAGCTGAATCAGTTTCCTAATTAGTGTCACTAAAGGCTTGTTTTGGGGACACCACTCTTAGCGGTTTGCTTGCTTTATTGTTTGCTATGTATTACTTATTCTCTTGTTGATAGAAATTACTATTAAATGAGCATTAGTATGCCAATCAAACTTTCTAGCTTTCACCATACTTTTCTTTCAATCTGTGAATGATCCCTGAAACAAGTAGAAATTAGTTGTGCTAGTTGCTGATAACCATTATTACAAATTTAGCAGCCTCCTTTTTAATAATCAAAAATCCCTAATCACTTTGCAAAGTGGTACTTGGCTGCTGACGCTGCTTTTGAAAATGTCACTAGGGTTCTTTGAAAGGCTTCTTCCTGCTGTTTTCAAAGTGTATATCCATATAAACTTCTTAAGCCATTATGTTGCTTTATGCATTATGAATTATAAAATCACACAATTCCTGGTGTCTTTGGAGGAGAGAGTTGCAAGAGGAAAAACTCTAACCACATCTTTCTCTCTTGACAGCAAGTTGAAGTAGATGCACAACAGTGTATGCTTGAAATCTTAGATACTGCAGGAACGGTATGTAAAACCAACTTTCCTAAATACTGATGTACAGTGTTAAAACTATCAAAAGCTGTAGGGATGTAAATGATGACACGTTTCCTTCCTCATTCTCTAAAGAGTAACTGTGGTCCGTGCATTGGATTAAAGGACGTTCTTTAACATACTAGTATTTAAACAAAATTTGAGTATTGCAGCAGAAAATGAATTCCAAGTTTCCTGTGAGCTCATGTTCTGTAATAGGGGAAACATGAGATTGAGAATTTTAAAAGAGCTTGTGCTGCTGTTTTGAGTTTATATTGCCCAGAGGAAAATTCAGGCCCGCTGGCTACTCAGGTTTGATTTCTGTTGCTGTAGAGAATACGTGCTTTCTTCTCTCCTTTCTCTTTTGTGTGTGAGATGTACTCTGACATTGGGGTAAAAAATAGTATCACTTTAGTCAGCTTATGTGAACTCAAAGTGCAGGGTTTATGCTGACCCTTTGCATACTGGTCAGGTTTTTCTGTGACTTGTTCTAAAATCTACTGAAAGCAGTCATTTCTTTCATTGATTCCAGTGAGCACGAGCTCAAGACCCTTGGAGTGTAGCCTGTGTTCTCTGAACTATAATAGTAATCTGGTCCAATAATAATTTATTTAAATTCCATATTAGAGTAAGGCCATGCAAAACTACAGAAAGATGGAGTGGCTGTTCTCTCGAAATATACTGGGCTTTTCATCTGACATACAGCAAGGGACTTGGTGAGTGATTGATCAGTCACAAGGTAGCCGAGTCACCAATGCGAGAAAGGCAAATGCTGTCCCACAGTCATACTGGTAAGAGTTTTCAAACAGGGAGAAGCCCTAATGCTGCTGTGCAGTGCACTAGCAAGTCTTCATATGCAATATTGTAGTTGTCAACGAAGTCTAGGAGATGTCACAAGTCTATTGAGTGTCTCCATCCTCTAGTCAGTCTTGAAAATGAAAGTAGAATTTAACATAGGAAAGTGCCTAGACTACAAAATGGAGGCTGCAAAGGGACGCATTTACTTTGCGATGTGTTTTAAGGAACGAACAGGAGATGGGTGAAAGTTGGTATGTAAGGAAGGATTTGGGAGGAACTTAACTTCTGTAGTCTACAGATTACACTGCACCTTCTACTGTACCTTCTCTCTTGAAATTACTTTAGTTTCTGTGATTTCCCCTCCCACTCCAGGGTATAGCCCTTGGCAATATCTAGATATTGTTCAGCCACCCCAGATAATGTTTCAAACCAGATTTATTTAAAAGCGGTTCAGTTTACTGTAATGCTTATAGTCAAACAGTAAAATATTCGTCGGTTTAAAAAGGCAAGGAGGGCACAAATGCATTGTACTTGTGATCCATTTGTGACCTGAAGTATATGGCAGTTCATGTAAGGGAAGTGCAAATTGAATGCAACATTTGTATCTTTTTCTAATTACAGGAACAGTTTACAGCAATGAGAGACCTGTACATGAAAAATGGACAAGGTTTTGCATTAGTATATTCCATCACAGCACAGTCCACGTTTAATGATTTACAGGATCTAAGAGAACAGATTCTTCGAGTCAAAGACACTGATGACGTAAGCATCTCTAAAAATGCTTAATACTTATATTTACAGTTTTCATTACAGATGTTGTAATGCATACACTACGATCAGATAGCTTCCAAGCTTTAAATTAAGAGACAAATCAACCAGTAGTGCATAGTATAGAAATGCAACTCTTAAGGCAAGCTGGAGAAATAGTGAATTGTCATGTGGTATATAGAGAACTGTCTTTTTAATCTCTTCCTTTAAAACACTCTATTTGAAATTGTGTATAACCTTATTCACTAGTACTGCAGAAAACATCTCTAAAGCAACTCCATTTTTACCTCAATTACTATCAATGAAGGGTTAAAAAAAAAAACAAAAAACCTACAGTTCAGTTTTTCTCTTCAGTATGCCTACTGTCTATGGTATTTTAAAAGCATAAAATTCTAAATTCTTACAGAAGACAGTACTGTAAGCTTTAAACTTGCATGTTATGTAGGTTTTATATTTTGTGTGTGTTCTTGCAAGTAAGTTTGGTCATACTATTTCCACACAATTTCAGTATGCACCTCTTAGCATTATTAAAGCTGTAATGTAAGGTTAAAATATTCCAGTTTCTAATTTATTATAAAAAAAAAAAAACCAAAACAAAAAAAAAAACCAACTTACTGCAGTTGTAGGAAGTGAATACTTAGTCCCTTAATAAAAGGAAGAAAGGTATTTCAAATGTGAAACAGCAGTAAAAGTGTGTTTTTAGCAGGAACACCTTCTATGTTGTAGCCATCAGACAGAAAAATCTTTCTTGAGGAAAAAAAACGTAAGCAATGAATAGTTTTTAGGTATGCTCATCTCATTTAAACTGCGCTCATAGAAACTTTGATCCCTTCCTTACTGCATGTATCCACATGGGCTTCTGCTGCCAGTGGACACAGAATGTATTAAACGTTTCAATTTCAGGGAAGTTCATTGTGACTCTTGTAATACAAACCACCTTGCACTTTCTTAAGCATAAGCATTTGCAGGTCTTGCCTGTGTTCAGCAGTTTTCTTCTGGAAGTGATTTATTATCCATTATTACAAATGTATCTCAAAAGGGTAGTATTTAAGTTGCATGTGCCTTTCCCATCCAGAACCTACCAAGTTATAGCCTTGTTTAGCATCAAATTAGCTTCGTACACTACAATTAAGATAAATGTAACAATATTTGAAACCTTAGTTTACATGGTATATTTATGCTGATTCGTATATACTTTCTTTTGTAGCATTTCCTTGGTATTGTATTTTTCTTTAGAACGCTCCTCTCAGTCTTGAAAGCCATTCCATAGTATCAGGAGAAAGATAACGAGCTTCAAGTTGCAACTTTTGTTCTCACCAAAATTTACATGAAGTTTTTCCTATGCCGAAGCTTAGGCATGACTTGCTTTCTCAGTGGGGGGAAATTAAATGATCAAAATATTGTAAGCTTTTTCCCAACACTTTAATTTGGGAGAAACTTAGCTATGTCCTTAAATTAGTAAAAGGAAGGGGAAAAAAAAAAAAAAAAAACAAAAACACAAACCCTTGTATGATTGCCTTTTCTTGCCACAAAGGTCAATTCAGCGTTTTCTGTAGTTAGTAATTTTGGTAAGCTAGCATGTTTCTTTCCTCTGTGTGCATCAGCTTGCTAATAAGAACTGTTTGAGCAAACTGCTCTTGAAAGGAGTGCAGATATGCTGGAAGTAGAGGAATGGCGAAAGGACATTTAGTGTCCTTCATCACACTACCCAGTACAAGCCACTTTTTCCAGGATTTCTGAATATGTAAGAATCTTGCAGCACATTCTTCAGTAGACTTCTTGATACCTTAAATGTCTGAACATGAAATCTCATTAGGTTTTCTAGAAGATGTGAAATTTTCTCAGTTGGCAGTGTACCGAATCCTCAAACCATTCCCCCCACCGCCCTGCCAAACAGAAGGCAAAAAATGCAGTCACTTTGATTTGAAGATTGAAGTCTCACACAACTGTAAATTTAAGTTTCTGTTATACCAGAGCTTGATTATTCTGGAGGTCAGGATCATCTAAGGATTCAGATAGGGTTTTAGGTGTGTATTTACATTGTGCCTTCCCAAAATTTTAATGAATTCTTTCCTGGTATTAAATTGGTTTTAGGTGCCTATGATTCTGGTTGGCAATAAGTGTGACTTGGAAGATGAGAGAGTTGTGGGAAAGGAACAAGGTCAGAACCTAGCAAGGCAATGGAATAACTGTGCATTCTTAGAGTCTTCTGCAAAATCAAAGATAAATGTTAATGAGGTAAGGCACACTTCCTATGGGGGGAGGGGTGGCGGGGAGAGAACGATGGGACACTGTGTTCTGGTAACCAGACATTACTGCTTGTCAAGAAAAACTAACAAAATTATGAGTAACATTCACTATAATGGACAAAACTGTACGAAACTATTGTGAGAATTTGAGACGTTTCTGTTAAGAGATGTAGTTAGCTTTGACTTAGAGCTTTTAAAAAATTAATATAATTTTAAAGTATAATTAGTTTTCAAATTATATCCATATGAATTTGGGATAAATACTTTTTTCATGTTACATTCCCTAGTTGATATAATCTCTGTCCACTTAGAGTGCACTGCTAGACTACTTTTTTCTTTTAAAAGACCTTTAAGAGAGTTAAATCCTTAAAACTAATTGATTTAAGTTATTTGGTATTAAATTATTTGAGATAGTAAGGACAACAACTCTTAAGGGTTTTGTCCAGATTAGCAGCTGATTAGAGAAGGGACTTGAACCTCTCCTCTATCTATCTATTTATTTATTTAGCAGGAGCTAGGTGACTGATCAAACAAATGCATTTTTGGGACTTAGCACAGTGCATGCCTTCTTATCCAGTGGGGGTGCCAGCATAAAGAAAGGGATGCAAAAAGTTTTGGAAAAAGGAGCTGTGTTAGTGTTTACATTTCTGGAACAGCTTGAATATTATGATAAACTCAGAAATTCATTGTGTCTTCTGGAAAACATCGTTGGCAGTATCAGTCAAGTTGAAAGGGCCTCTGTGCAAGACTTGGATGTAATCAAATGAGTTTTAAGCACAGCTGACTTTAAAAATGTGTAATGTGTGTTTAATTAGTTGGGAATTTCTGGAAACTATTCAGTTTGCCTTAAATACAAATTAATCAGCTTAACTATATAAAAGTCATATGTTTAATAAACTAGAACTTACTTCCATCAAATACTAAAAGCCCTTGTTGGAATGTTTGCTGCTTTGCAGCCAGGCCTTAGGAAACTGCTAGGATGGCTTCAGTATGAGGCCCTCCTTGATTTAGGAGATGCAGAAATAATTGGAACAATGTCAGTTATGAACAAAACAGATGCTGTTTAATTGTAGTATGTAGACTTGTCTTAAATTAGCCTTTCAACAAAATCATGTTCTAATTAGAATTCTAGGAGATTCAAAGTGTGAGAGAGTCTCATAGATAAGTTACTTTTCTAGGAAATGCTGCGCTTATGTCATGCTGTAGTCCTAGAGAGGCTGCTGAATTAAGGCTAGACTTTAGTATTTTTAAGATATCTGGAAAAGCATGATCTTATTTGAATACAATAGACTTACAGAATATGCAGTGTACTTGAGTTACCATGAAAATGTGGAGTTAAAACTTACTAGAACTTTCTTTAAAAGAGTATCTTTAGAGTGATTTGAGTTAGAAGAAAGCTATGGCCTGTTTCTTGACCTCAGTGCTAAATTGCAAAGTAATAGCATAGTAGTTGATCATTGTGACACATATCGTGCGTGTTCAGATAAATTTGACCTAGAGATTAAACAGCTGCAGATTATAAATGCCTTTCCAGTTAGCTTCATTGAAAGTAGGAAAGCCTTGACAGACAATTATCTTAAACAGAAGATGAACGGGTATTAATTAAGTATACAATCTAACTTTCTGGCTTTGTGATAACTAAATATTTACAGGGGTTCTTGAGTATGTGAGTATATTATGTGTGAAGATTCAAGGCTTAAGGTTATGAGAGAAGCCTCTTAATTCCAATAACCAACTGATCTTTATATTCTCAGATCTTTTATGACCTTGTGCGACAAATTAACAGAAAAACTCCAGTGCCTGGAAAAGCACGCAAAAAGTCATCATGTCAGCTACTTTAATACATAGCTGTACTGTAGCTCTGAGCCAGGTAAACCTTTTAAAATTTTCTGTGTATTATGGCTATTAAAACCAAACAAACCAACAACAAAAAAACCCTAAACAACTGTGGTAGCTGTTGATGCAGAACAGCATTGAAAAGTCTTGATTTACATTATCATAGAAATTTTTATGGTCTTTATTTTGCCATTCCAAAGTCAGAACTACAAATATGCGCAAGATACACTGTTCACGCTAGTATCTTCCCCCCCGCCAAGCTTTAAGGTGTTGGTAGAGCTCAAATTAAGGATGTTTGTTCTGATACTTCAAAACTTTAGCTTTTGGAAACAGGGTTTTCTTTTTTAAAGGCTGATAGAATATACTGCAAGAGCTCAATTATGAGGAATGCACACTGTAAAATATTGCAGTTTGCATGCTAAAATGTCACTTTCTGCTTTGAATTCCGGCATGTACTTGCATGATGTCATAGGAATTTAGCTTGCTTACTTTGGACTATATGGATATTTTATAGGCTGCATTTTAATTAGTACATTTGGAAGAGAACAGTGAAGTGATCATTGTAACACTCAAAATATTTGACCTGGAGCTGTTGGCTACTAGATCAATTTCTTGCTCGTTGGCAGTTGGCTAATGTTCCACATGACTGAATCCATTCTTTAAGAATGCTGCTGAAGGCTCAAGCAAGCTCCAGCCTGCTCTTTAAGCAAGCCTTTTCAGAAGTTACTCAGCAGGCATGATTTTTTTTTTTTCCTGCAACTTGTTCTTGGGCAGATTGTTTCCCCCTTTCCACCTCTGAGCCTTAGTATGGATAGATGTCTCCTGATTGACCTGACATCATGCAAGTTCCCTGTTCATCTCGATTCTCTTCAGTTTTACTGGACATATGGTAGTTTGGTTGCTTCAGTGCTATGATCCATTATTTTGTCATCTGATAGACCTATTTGATATACTGGAGGATCCTGGTAGGCCATTTCACTGTCATAAATTACAGGCTTTTATTAATATTCAGATAGTGCCATGTTTAACTCTTTTTGGTATCAATATTAAAACTTACTTAATTTGAACAACTTGAATCAGTTCAAAGTAAAACTGAGAGGGTCCCAAAAACATTAGCTGAGGTGGCAGAAGTGGCTGCTGCATTTCTTTAACAGGGCTTTCGATTCAGGAGCTTTGATCCTCCAAATGTGTTTTTGTTATTAAAGCCACTGGAACTGTCATACTGTAAGCAAAACCAGTCGCACCCATCGAATACTACTTCCACAGTTCAGCTTGGATTACCATATGTATTCCAGTTCAGTTTTACTAATTGAGATAGTCTGTTATTTGTGTGTGTACAGTAGAAATGATATTAGTAGAGGAGAAGTGATAAGGTTATCTTCTAAGTCTGTTTGCTAAGAACTTTGCTAGTTCCTGCTTGACTTCTTTTAAGTAAAGAGAAATGACAAATAGTTGTTACTAATACTAACCTCTTGTTTTGCCGTTACAGGTCTGAAGAACTGTTGCCCAATTCAACAGTGCCAGCATTCCAACTTTATTAAACCTACCAACATCTTAAATGGACTTTCCTGTGGTGGTACCCTTTAAGAAATGGATGAAAGCTACTACATCAGTTTGCACATTCTAATCACTTTCCAGTGTCACGAGAGATTTTTACTTATAAATATTCTAAGTGTATGCAACTGGTAAAACCAGAGCCTACATCCAGTATTACTGATAAGAGACATTGTTCATCCACCAATGTTGTACATGTATGAAAACTGTGTACTGTATACTTCAACAATCCCCACTTTCTATTGGAGAGTACAATAATGTAAATCCTAAAAGCACCACTATTTTAGCATAATAAAAGAAAGTCCAAAGAGCTCCTATATAGACTACTCCAGATAACTTTGCTTCATCGGTATTTGTAGCTTATTGTAACTTTTTTAAAGAAATACAGGATCATCATCATCGTATTGTACAAAAGCGCTTTGATTAACACAACAGCTATATAGTTTTTTAATTTTAGGAAAAACCTGTGGAGACAGTGATCTAGTCTTTAAGAGTCCTTTCAGTATAATGTCTGACTAAAGACATGGCCTTTAATATCTGTTGGGAAGGAAATGTCCAGACTTTTCAACCTTTTATTGTATGTTTCCTTTTCCTTGTTTACATAGGGAACAATGTTTATAGTTGTGTGTACAGTGGGGGTCTACAACAAGAAGTGTATATTTTAAAACGATTTTTTAATGATTTAACAATTTTTTGTAAATCATTTTTGGGCTTCTGCAGCTGTAGATTCTCACTGTGAATTCCCTTGCTTGCTCATGCATAAGTGTATTTGCAATACCAAATATACAGGTTTAGTACTTTTGCCTGTTAGTGATTGTTTTACATGTGTAACGTTTTGGTTGAGATGTTAAATGGTGGAAGAGTACTGTGGATGTGAATGTGGGAAGTAATTTTAATCATGTGTAATTGGTCACAGGGCCTAAGTTGCAGTAATTAACTTTTGCTGATTTATTTAACAATGCCTTGTTGCTTTGTATGCATTAACGTTTGGGTGTAAAGATTGTGTGTATATCCAACAGGGAGCCACAGTATTTAAATTGACCAACCTAATGTTACAACTGCTTTGAGGTGGCCAAATGTAAACTAAAAGCCTTAATTAAAGTGGTGCAATTTTGTATGACTTAGCATCAGTAGTTCAATAAATTTGGATTGCCATGCAAGGGCTTGCATTACAATTATATACTACTTGAATGTTTTGTGTTTTAGTGCTAGTAAATATTGATTTTAAATCTCTTGCACAGTGCAGATTCGTACATGTTAGGACGAAAAGGAACCATTATGACATTGTCCTCTGACAAATACATGCCATAGATATTTCTTCTAATAGTATCCCATGTGCTAGGGTGGATGAATTTCTGCCTGAATGAAATTCCACTTACAGTTTTGGATTTTGAATATTCGAAATTCTCACATAAGGGAGAGTCTAACAGAAAAATAGCTGTCTTCAAAGGTTAGACTGTCAGTGGCTGTTTTGGGAACTCGAAAATACGTTGCCTGCTCTTTTCCTTTTTTCCAGGAAGAATTCATTGTTAGAATTGACTTAGTGTAGCTAAAAAAAAAAAAATTCTCTTGGGAGAAAACATGATTTTTCTGCATGATTAAACCGTATTTGGTTTCAAGGAAATCTGCAGAATAGCATTCTTGCAGCATCGAGTGTAGAGTTTTGCAGACTTTAAATATCGGTTAACACTGTTAGACTGTGAAGTGGAATGCGTGGACTGTGGATGATTTCCTGATCTTGGCTGTGCTGCTGAAAATTAATGTCACACCCAAATACTTGGTACCTCCTGTTTCTCTGGCACAGAATTATCAGAGCTTGTTCTAATCCATTCCTGCAAATTCAACCAGATTAGGTTAGCTAATACCAGTAAGCTTTGAGATAGTTTACGTTGCCCAAAGTGAATTAGGGAGCCCAGCTGATCCTTCCTGCTGGTAATTTCATCAGTCATCGCCATTGTTTTAGTGGAGGTAATACACTCTTTTTCACTGTGCAGAGTCAGAGTTAAGACTGAAATTCCTTTTCATTTATCATTAGAAACCAGAGCATGTGGTTGATGATCCCCATAAATATCTCTTTTGGTGCTCCCTGCATCCTGATTGGTCCCCAGAGTAGATGAGACTGGAGCACTGGATGCTCTAGTTCCTTTTTCACTAGGTACCTTCCTCCTTGATGAGCTAATCAGTATTTTTCCTCCCTTCACTTTCAGCCTCTGCTTATTCAGGTCTTATAACACTTTTATGTCCCAATTGACCTTATCTGTGTTCTTTTTAATGTGTTTCTTTTCCAGGCAGCTGTACAGATGGCATTGGGTGGGAGGGAGAGAAAATTCTTTGATAACATCAGAGAGGGACCCTGGTCTGGTCTCAGTGTCCAGCCAAAGAGTACTGATTACAGGGGACGTCAGGCTTTGTCCTGAAAGCTCTGTACTGAAGCATTCTTGGTTGCTCTGTGGGATAGCAAATGTACAGTTCCTCAGCATTAGAGGTAGTCAGTTTGATCAAATCCCAGGAAAGTACAATTTTCAGAAACTCCAGGCTTTACCATCTAAAGACTGTGCTAAAAAAGTGAAATACATTTTCTCTCCTATATTTAGAACTTAGGCCAGATTTGTAAAATTAACACATCCTAACCCAGGTAATACCTAAAAACCAGTATTTGTCTCCTTGAAAACTTAGGCAGGCTTCAAGGGAGCAGTGTCCTGGTTGTTAAAGGGAAGATGCATGACAAAATTATGCTGAGGAAGTGATGGACATGAAGCGTAAGGAAAAACACATGAAAGAATTTTCATCATATCTAAGTAATCACGGCATAAGAAGCTGTTCC